ACATACTTGTGTAATACATACTTGTGTATTACTCAGAAATAGTAAAAATATTGTTGGCAAAATGTTGCTTGTGTTTCTTCTCAAATATAAATTAATGTATAGTATATAGTAGGGATGCACCGATACCAGTATCGGTATCGGGCCCGATACTGAGCTCCTGTACTCGTACTCGTACTCGTTAAAATGCCCCGATACCAAACGCCGATACCACACAGCATGTGACAAGCGCCATATTCAGAACAACAGACAGTAGAATGGAGTGTTTCTGTACCCAATATTTAAAAAATGTACAAATGCAATAAAAATATTGGTATCGGTACTCGGTATCGGCAAGTACCAAAAATAAAAGTATCGTATCGGGCGAGTACTGAAAAAAGTGGTATCGGTGCATCCCTAGTATATAGAGTACAAGTGTCAGTAAACAAGATTTTCTTCTCATTCTGCTGTAATCTGTATTATGTAGCATGAGCGCAGGGTTCAGGGTCTGTTTGACAGTCATGGTCAGTGAAAGCCGATCCCTCAAACTACTACAGCCGGCTTCATGGGGCCATCGATCAGGACGGGGGAATTCCTTTATGGCCTGTCCCAGAGAAAGGCCTCCACTAAGGGATTGTGCCAGCCATCGATCTGAAGCCTCAGTTTTATTTTCCCCACGGGAGTGACCAAGGCCTGATTTAGGAGCTGTGTTACACACAAACAGAACAACAGCCTTAAAGCAGTAGTTCACTCAAAAATGCAATATTTGCTGAAAATTTACTCACCCCCTTAGACCTTCCAAGATGTAGATGAGTTTCTTCATTGGAACAGATTTGGAGAAATGTAGCATTACATCACTTGCTCACCAATGGATCCTCTGCAGTGAATGGGTGCCGTCAGAATGAAAGTCCAAACCGCTGATAAAATATCACAATATCACAATAATATATCACAATAATCCACAAGTAATCCACACTCCAGTCCATCAATTAACATCTTGTGGAGCAAAAATCTGCATGTTTGTTGGAAATTAGAAATGTTTAATTTTAAACCGTTTCTTCTGTCCATAATCCATAATATTGCTTTCTCCAGTGAAAATGTTGTCTGGTCTGAATCAGGAGAAAAACATGTAAAAAAAAACAACAAGCCAAAACAGTCCAAAACATTTCTAAATAAATGCATTTGTGATCCATTTGTGATGTAATACTAAATTTCTCAAAGATGAAGAGCTTGAAAAGAGTCCGCACATTCAAACATTAAAGCATCACAAGCGAGATGAGAACGATATATGCAATTTAGCAGTTAGCTTGGCATTGAAAATGGTCAACATGTGACCAAAACGTTTGCCTTGTTTTATTCAGTAAATTGCATATATCGTTCTCATCTCGCTTGTGATGCTTTAATGTTTGAATGTGCGGACTCTTTTCAAGCTC